CTACCCATCCAGACCTGTACCGCCTCCAGGCACTTAGACATCATGGAAAGGGCATCCCTAGGTTGGTCTGGGGTGGAGATGTACAGTTGGGTATCATCAGCGTACTGATGATATCGCACCCTGAAACCTCGAATGATCTCACCCAGTGGCTTCATATAGATGTTAAAGAGCGGGGGGGAGAGAACCAACCCCTGCGGCACCCCACAAGTGAGGGGCCTCAGGGAGGATCTCTGACCCCCCACCCAAACAAACTGTGAACGGCCCGAGAGGTAGGAGGAGAACCACTGTAGGACAGTGCCCCCCACCTCCAGCCCCCTGAGACATCGCAGTAAGATACCATGGTCGATGGTATCAAAAGCCACTGAGAGGTCAAGTAGCACCAGGATGGAGGAATAACCTCCCATCCCAAGCCCGCCAGAGATCATTCATCAGGGCGACCAATGCCGTTTCCATGCTGTGTCCGCGCCTGAAGCCTGATTGGTATGGGTCTAGATAATCAGTCTCCTCCAGGAATTGTGGAAGCTGGTATTCCACCACAGCCTCAATAACCTTTGCAATAAAGCAAAGGTTGGAGACAGGACGAAAGTTGTTCAAGGAGGCCGGATCCAGGGCTGGTTTCTTGAGGAGGGGACGAACCACCGCCTCCTTGAGTGAGGCAGGGAAGACCCCATCTCTCAATGAAGCATTGATAATCGCCCGGATCCAGTCTCCAGTCACCTCCCTGGTTGCCACAACAAGCCAGGAGGGGCAAAGGTCCAGTAAACATGTGGAGGCCCCCAGTCTACCCACAATCCTGTCCACTTCCTCCATAGAAACAGGGTCAAAGTCAACCCAGATGTCACTTCCAAGATTAGCTCCCATCCCCTCATTGGATTCCGCCCAGTCAGAGTCCAACCCAGTCCGAATCTGAGCAATTTTGTCTTGCAGAAATTGTGCAAAATCCTCAGCATTGCCTTGCAAGGGGTCCTCCCTCACTCCCTGATGGAGAAGGGAGAGGGTCACTCGGAACAAGGCTGCTGGGCGATTTTCTGCAGATGCAATGAGAGCAGCAAAATAGTCACATTTCGCTACTTCCATCGCCACAAGATAAAACCTAATATGGGTTCTTAACTGTGTTCGGTCAGACTCGGAATGGGAAGATCTCCAGTGGCCCTCTAGGCATCTCTTCCGATGCTTCATTTCCCTGAGCTCCACAGAAAACCATGGAGCTGCCCAGGATCCCTGTCGGAGGAGAGGCCGCAAGGGAGCGATTCGATCCATCACCCCGGTGGCAGCCCATTCCCAAGCATCCACCAGGGCCTCTGGCGAATCGCGGGATAGGTCAGTGGGAAATGTCCCAAGCTCTGTCAGGAACCTATCAGGGTCCATCAGGCGCCTGGGGCAGAACCAACGAGTTGGTTCCGCCTCCCAGCAGTGGGGGTTGGTGGAAGGAAAGTCTAGCTGAAAGAGGGAATGGTCGGTCCATGATAGGGGTAATATAGAAAGGTCACCCCTACCCCGAGCATTTATCCACTGCCCAGAGATGAAAATCAGGTCAAGTGTGTGTCCACCCCTGTGAGTTGGGCCCTGTACAACTTGAGTCAGGTCCATAGCCGTCATGGAGGCCATGAACTCCCGCACCAACTCTGATGTCTTGCCAGCTGATGGGAGATTAAAATCTCCTACAACCATAAGGTTGGGGAACTCAACCATCAGTTCAGCTAAGACTTCGAGTAGTGTGGGCAGGATTGAAGACACACAGCTGGGAGACAGGTACGTAATCAACAGAGCCAAATGCACTTCAGAGTCCCATTTTAACAGAAGGGACTCACACCTGCCAATCTGAGGGACAGTGACCTCCCTAGGTCTTAGACCATCCATGATGACAACCGCCACCCCGCCACCCCTCCCGTGGAGTCGCGGCTGGTGTAGTACTCGGAAACCTGGTGGGCATAGATCGGAGAGAAGAACCCCTCCCTCCATGCCCAACCAGGTCTCCGTGATGCAAGCCAGGTCTGCACCCCCCTCGTCAACTTTAATGGTGTTGTGGATGGAAATTTTTTTTTTAAATTTGATTTATATGCCACCCTTCTCCAGAGACTCAGGGCGGCTTACAATGCGCTAAGCAATAGCCTTCATTCTTTTGTATATTTATACAAAGTCAGCTTATTGCCCCCACAACTGGGTCCTCAATTTACCTACCTTAGAAAGGATGGAAGGCTGAGTCAACCTTGAGCCTTGGTGAGATTCGAACCTGCAGTAATTGCAGGCAGCTGGTCTTAATAACCAGCTTAATAACAGGGTGCCTTAGACCACTGTACTACCAAGGCTCTTTGGACTATAAAAATTTGGACTATAAAACACATAAAACAGCAAGACATAGTAGAAAGATTCTACCAAAATCTTTTTTTAAGATGGCAGAGGAAATAAATTTAAAAGATGCATGGAGAGATAGAAATGGAAAAAATAGACAATATACTTTTTATTCAGACAGACACTCATCTTGGTCTAGACTAGATATGATAACAATGGAATTGACTTTGAATATCGAACAAATAGAGATAGAAACAAACATATGGGCAGATCACAATCCTGTGATAGCTACTTGGAAAGGATGGAAAAGAAGATTTAGATGGACTTTAAATAATATGATTTTAAAAGAGAAAGATTTTGTACAGAAAATGGAAAGAGAGCTGGCTTTTTTTTTTCAAGGAGAATAAGAAAGAAGACACAACAACACAAAATCTTTGGGACACGATGAAGGCCTATGCAAGAGGTTTAATAATAGACTATACAAGGAAGAGAAATTTGAAGAAAAGGCAAACATATAAATTATTGGAAGATGATTATAAGAGATTTGAAAAGGAACTCAAGAATTGCCCACATAAAAAAGAAGTTAAAGTGAAAATGGATACTATAAAGCATAAAATGGACTTACTAGAGAAAGAAGAATTAGCCCAAAAAATTACTAAAAAGTACTAAACAAAACTATTTTGAGAATGCGAACAAACCAGGAAGATGGTTAGCATACAAGTTGAAAAAAGAAAGAGAGTCAAGAAAAATAGCACAATTAATTGATGACAGGGGCAAAGCAAATTTGCAAATAAAGAGATGGGAAAAATAATACAGGAATATTATAGACAACTTTATGAGAGAGAAAAGATAGAGGAGGAAAGTGTGACAAGCTATTTACAGAAAGCAAATTTACCTCGGATTCCCAAAGATGTGGAAGAGATGTTAGAGGGGGATATAACAATGATGGCGTTAACAGAAGCAATTAAGAAATAGAAAAATGGAAAGGCGCCAGGGCCAGATGGTTTGCCTGTAGAATACTATAGGACATTACAAGATTCTTTAAGTCTCCCATTATTAGAAGTTATGAATGAAGTGATGGCGAAAAAGAAAATACCCAAATCATGGACTGAAGCATATATTCACAAAGAAGACACAGACCCACAACAAATAAAAAACTATAGGCCTATATCCCTGCTGAATTCAGATTATAAAATTTTTGCTTCAATACTGGCAGAAAGACTTAAAAGATATTTAAATAAGTTTATACACTCAGACCAAAATGGATTTCTTCCAAAAAGACAGATTAGAGATAATATTAGAATAATTTTGGATACTCTGGAATACTATGAAACCCATCCTGAAAAACAGATGGCTTTGATATTTTTAGATGCACAAAAAGCTTTTGATAATGTGAATTGGTGATTTATGCTGCTGCAAATGGAACAGAGGGGCTTTGGCAGAAAATTTATTCAGGCAATAGAAACTATATACCACAAACGAACGGCAAAAGTAATGATAAATGAATTGACTGATTCTATTGAGATAGAAAAAGGTACCAGACAAGGATGTCCACTGTCCCCACTGTTGTTTATATTGACATTAGAAGTCTTAAGTAGAAATATTAGAGAAGAAAAAGATATAAAAGGAATGAAAATTTGGAAAGAAGAATACAAATTGCAAGCATTTACTGATGACCTGGTCTTTATTATTGAAGAACCACTAACATCAATAAATACATTGATAGAGAATATTGGAGAATTTGGGAAAGTGGCTGGTTTGAAAATTAACAAAGACAAAACAAAGATTTTGACTAAAAATATGTTGACAAAGCAAAAAGAAGAATTGATGGAGATATCAAAGATGCAGGTCACTAATCATGGAATTGAAGTATGAAATATGGGGTTGATGTAAAGAAAAAATATTTGATGTTTTTGTTTTCTTCTATAAAAGATATAAGTTTCCGTTATAAATTGGTATTATAGAAATGGATTTATGCACAAGAGAATATGAACCGCTTGACTTACTGTCTTTAATTGTTTGGAATGATGATGGTTTTATGTTTTGTTTTTGTTTTAAAATAAAAAAAAATTCAACCCCCACCCCCAAGGTGGGAGTAAGGTGGAAATGTAACAAATAAAGTAATAAATAAAGTAAAAACAGATCCAACTAGATGATCACTGAAGGGCCCTCTTTGTTCTTAATATTATAAGAGAGAAAATTGCTTGCAATTATATCCAGCATGAAGGCAGGCACATTCCTTTCTAGTAGGACTCCTACTTCACGGCCTCTCAGTTGTCACAGATAAGGACAGTCTAGGTGATTTACACTTTGAAGGTCAGAGTAACAGAGATGTCCATATTGTGGTTTCAACAAGAGATAATTTGAAAAATATGCTTCAGTAACTTTTTAGAAGAATTATTATAACTGTTTTGCAAACTCAGTAATTAGGAAATGTCAATTAAAAAAGACAAATGTATATGACCATATGAATTGCTGACTTCACAGAATCCTTTGTTTGAAACTGTATAAATGTTCTGAGTTGAAAATCATACTTCGGTCAAACCTCCTCTTGATAGCGATATCAAGGTTTGATCCTTTATTGCAATAAATAATTAAACTGATTCTATCTGCCCTAAACGGGATGTTTCTTTAATTCCCAATTTCCACAACAATTTTGGCACCCGGCAGAAGGGACTTTGAGAAGCAGAGATTTTTTTTCTTCCTAGGCGAACTGCCCCAGCGGGACCGGCTTTTTCACATCGAAGATTCAACAGCCAGCACAAGACTCCTTTGAAGTCTCCAGAATCCTTCGTTGGGAGATGGCCGTATGCTCGCTGGCGAAGCAGCTTCAGCCAAGGACCCACAAGAGGGCAGACAAGACCCAGTAACTCCGCGGACGGCCGAGGAAAACAACGCCTGACAGGCAAGTAATCATTTAAACGGGGAAAAGATAGAACTGTCTATTTTTGAGACAGAGGGGGATCTGATCAATCTCCTGAGAGGGGAAAACGGCATTTTTCAACCCTCTAGATTAGGCTGTGAAGGGTGGTTAAACCAACGCAGTTCCTGACGGTGACTGTTGAGTGTCCAGCGCCCCAGGTTGTTGGTAGTGTGTTAGGAATGGGTGAGAAAAACAGTGTCCAGCGGACACCATTACAATGTATGCTAGCCCACTTTCAAACCGTTTTTTTTTATGGAGGTCCTCCATGCGATCCAGACAAATTAAAACATTTTTGTCTCAACATCTGGACAGCTTTAGGCATGAGATGGCCAGCAGGGGACTCACTAGACCCAATAATAATTTCAAAGGTGCACAAGATCGTTACCCAGGAGGGGCTATGGGAACAGTTTCCATATATCGATCAATGGCAGCTCATTCAGATGGCAAACCCCAAATGGCTTAAAAAGTATCAGTTGGAATGTGTGCGTGTGTGTGTGATGACAGAACAGAATAAAAACACCAAACAAGGAGTTAAAACTAAGATTTTTAGCCAGGAAGAGGAGGAAGAGATAAACCGCCCTCCTCCCTATGCCCCCCTTCCTGCAGCCCCAAGGCAAAACCTTTATCCAGCGCTGCCTGCAACACAGAGAAACATTCCACCTCGGAAACCTAATTTACAAGTCAAAAGAGAAGTTAAGAGTGACGGAGAACAGCAGGAGGAAGAAAAACCTGTTAGTTCCCGGACCAGATCTCAGACAAGCCTTAAAAAGATAGAAACTGTGGCCCCTTTAAGGGAGATGTTGGATCATGGACAGGGTCCACAAGGCCAGCCCATCATTAAGTCATTGTTGCAGTACCAGCCCTTCACAACAACGGATCTTCTGAACTGGAAGCAACAGTACGGTCCGTTTAGCAAAAAACCCCTTGATTTTGTGGATCTCTTCAACACTATTATGCAAACTCACCGACCCACGTGGGGAGATATCCAATTGCTGTTAAATACATTGCTTTCTATGGAAGATAGAGAGAAATTCAAAATTGCTAAAGGAAAAGTACTAACCCACATGTTTCCTGATGCAAATCAAGCAGCCGATAAAATTGCTGCTGCAGCAGAAGCAGACCCCAATTGGAATGCAAATCACCCTCCACATCTAACGTTGCTAAATAACTACCGCCTCTTATGTGTAGAAAGTTTGAGAGAGGCTGCAAAGGGTCCTGTTAATTATGCAAAGATCGCCACTGTTTTGCAGGAGAAAGATGAATCCCCTGAAGCATTTTTAACTCGTTTGATTGAATCTTATAAGATTCACACAGGCATAGATGTTGAGGATCCTGCAAACAGATTTATGTTAAATGAAAGATTTATAAGCCAGAGCGCTCCTGACATTAGACGCAAACTTCAGAAACTAGAGGGCGCTCTTGGCAAGAATACTTCTGAATTGTTAGAGGTTGCTAAGAAGGTTTACTTGAACAGAGAAAGAGAGGAAGAGAAAAAGCAAGTTGCTAAGGACAGAAAGCAGACGGAGATGTTAGCTTTGGCACTCGGTGGGGTTGTTTTAGGACCAAATCAGTGCGCATTTTGTGGGGACACTGGTCATTGGAAGAAAGAATGTCCCCGTAGAAGAATGGAACCCAGAGAAGTATCCTACGGGCGTGGATTTCAGATGGTGAGAGGAAGTCATAGAGGAGGTTTTAATGGAAGGTCTGTGAGAGGGAATATGAGAGGAGTTTTCAGAGGAAGAAGAGGAAATGATAGGCAATTTATTTCACCCAGCCAGTCAACCCAGAATCCAGAAGTTATTGGCTTAGCTGAAATGGACTGGGACGATTGAAGCTGCCTCAACTCCGCAGCTTCACCCCACCCCCCAGAGCCCTTGATGGATTTATGGGTGGGAAAACATCACGTATGCATGCTGGTTGATACCGGAGCCAGTCGATCAGTAATTAACACACAAGTGGTTCCTTTGTCAGCTAAGAAGATTAGAGTCCAAGGCGTTTCTGACGATGCAGTTACACACAGTCTCCTGAAACCAGTTAAATGCAAAGTTGGAAATGGCTTAATGGAGCATCAATTTTTGTACATGCCTAATTGCCCAGTTCCACTGATAGGCAGAGATTTGCTTTCTAAATTACAAGCCACTATTTCTTTCAATGATAATGGACAGTACTTAACAGTAACACACCCAGTGGAAGAAACGTGGCGATTAATGCTAATGCAAGACACACTCATTGAAAGCAATTGGGAGAAATTCAATGTTCCTACCTTGTGGGCAGAAGACAATTCCCCTGGGCTTGCTATATTTGCATCTCCAGTTGAAGTCAAGCTGAAACCAGGATCCCAGCCTATTAGAGTACCCCAGTATTACATTCCACAGGACGCGGCTACAGCCATCCAGGTCTTAATTGACAAATTCTTAGCTGCAGGCATATTAAGGGAAACTAAATCCCCATGGAATACTGCAATATTACCCATAAAAAAACCAGATGGGTGGTACAGACCTGCACAGGATCTTCGCCCTCTAAATAACCGGACTGTAACGCTTCATGCAATTATGTCTAATCCATATATTTTGCTTGGAACTATCCCTCATTCAGCAACATGGTTTTCAGTCATAGACTTGAAGGATGCTTTTTTCACAATCCCCTTACATCCTGATAGCCAAGACCTATTCGCTTTTGAGTGGAAAGACCCTAACTCACGTTGCCATTCTCAATATACATGGACTAGGTTGCCTCAAGGTTTTAAAAATTCTCCAACTCTTTTTGGTCAAGCTCTTGCTTTGGACTTACAACACTTTCACCCAGTTCAGGAAGGTGATTGTCTCCTTCAATATGTAGATGATGTCTTAGTCACAGGAACCACACAGGAGAATTGTTTCAAAAATACCCAAATGCTTCTGGAATTACTGAGAGACTGTGGTTACAGGGCATCCAGAAAGAAAGCACAATTAGTTAAAAAGGAAGTTACATATTTGGGATATAATTTGTCTCAAGGCCAAAGAAACTTAGGCTTACCTAGAAAACAGGCAATTTTACAGCTGCCCCCACCTAAAACTCGAAAGGAACTGAGAGGCATTTTGGGAGTTATGGGCTTTTGCCGTTTATGGGTCCCTAATTTTGCTCTCCTGGCCAAGCCTTTGTATTCATCGACTCTAGGCGCTGAAAACGATCCTTTTGAATGGGGCAAAGAGCAAGTGAATTCCTTTGAACAATTAAAGACACTTCTCACATCCTGCCCTGCTCTCGGATTGCCAGATCTCACTAAGCCCTTTCGTCTCTATGTAGACGTCCATCATAATGTGGCTTTAGGGGTGTTGACACAACAGCAGGGGTCCTGGCAACGGCCTGTAGCTTACTTATCTAAACAACTTGACGCCCCGGCCCAGGGATGGCCGCACTGTCTTAAAATGCTGGCTGCTGTCTCAGAACTTGTGAAAGATACAAACAAACTGACTTTTACTTCAGATGTAGCAGTTTATACATCACATGCTTTGCAAACTATTTTAGAAAATAAAGGACATTTGTGGTTGAGTAACCAACGGCTGCATACATACCAAGCACTCTTGCTAGAAAATCCTCAAATTACTCTTCATCAATGTGCAACCATCAACCCGGCTACCCTCATGCCTATACCAGATGCATCTCTCCCACTGCATGACTGTTTATATGTTTTAGATCATCAATATTCCTGCAGACCGGACTTAACTGACACCCCTCTTTTACATGCCCAGCTTACTTGGTTCACGGACGGATCCAGCTTTGTAGAACAAGGAACTAGATATGCAGGCTATGCAATTGTTAGTACAGAGGGGGTCATTGAAAGTTCGTCCCTTCCCGTGGGCACCAGCGCACAGGCAGCAGAATTATGGGCTCTTATCCGTGCATTGGAATTAGCCTCAGGCAAAACTCTTAACATCTACACTGACAGTAAATATGCCTTTTTGACTATTCAAGCACATGCTGCTATTTATAAAGAAAGGGGCTTCACTGATTCTTCAGGCAAATTAATACAACATGCCTCTTTAATCAAAAGGTTGATTCAAGCTGCACAGTTTCCCAAGTCTTTAGCTGTCATCCATTGCCCAGGTCATCAGAAAACAGACACCCTCATTGCCCAAGGCAATCGATTTGCTGATAAAGAAGCTAAACTTGCAGCACATCAGCCCATACACAGAACGAATTCTCATCTCTATTTGGCACATGAAATTGAATCATACATTGAGAAATCCCATCCAGCCTATACACCTGTGGAAAGGGAGAAAGCTGTAGGGGATCTCAAAGCCACTCTTGTGAGGGGATGGTACACACTTCCAGACAATCGCCCAGTGGTACCAGTTTCCCTCGCTTGGCCCCTAGTAATGGAAGCACATCAAACATCGCACATTGGCAAAACAGCTTTGGCCCAGCAATTACAGGCTGCTTTTTACATCCCTAATTTGCAGAGCCTGGTGGCCAAGGTGACTTCTCAGTGTTCCACTTGTGCTCAAGTAAATGCCAGGCAAGGACCACGTTTACCTGAAGGACAACAGCCCATCTCTTACTTGCCAATGGACTATTTAGTAGTAGATTTCACTGATATGCCCAGATGCAATGGTTATAAAGCTTTGCTCACTTTTATTGACACGTATTCTGATTGGCTGGAAGCCTTCCCTACTCGAAACAAGTTAGCTATACAGGTTGCACGCTTTCTTTTAAAGGAAATAATTCCAAGATTTGGCTGCCCATCTCACATCAGTTCTGATAATGGCCCTGAATTTGTACAACGTATAAATCGCCACTTAGCTGAAGCAGCAGGTATAAAGTGGAGATATCATTGTTCTTTTCGACCTCAATAGGCTGCAAAACTTGAAAGGGCTCATCGCTCATTGAAAGCAATCATTACCAAGTTGTGTCTAGAAACACATTTGCCATGGCTTCAAGTTTTTCCTATGGCCTTGTACATTTTTAGAACTACCCCATGAACCAAATACCAGTTGTCTCCTTTTGAACTTTTATATGGAAGACCCCCGGCTTTGTTCAAACAC